AAGGAAGGAAGGAAGGAAGGAAGGAAGGAAGGAAGGAAAGATGTGAGAAAAAAGGGAGGGAAGGGAGAAAGAAGGAAGGAAGGGGAGGAGGGAGGGAGGGAGGGAAAACGGAGAGGAAGGAAGAATCACAAACCTGGCACTAGACGCAGCTTCAGATAATACCTTGAAAGAGTAGAGCAATCCAGGGCTGGAAGGGACCTGGAGGTTATCTAGTCCAACCCCCTGCTCCAGCAGGACATTGTTAAAGTGAGTTTCTGTCTTTTGACACCCCCAGTCACATGACTACATAGCCACGCCCACCCAGTCACATGACACCCCCCCCCTCACCAAGCCAGGCCCACAGAACCGGTAGGAACAATTTCACCACTGGATAGATGTTCTGCATTTCTTAGGAGAAATGGACAAGGTCTTCAGAAGAGGAGCAAAGACAGAAGGAAGGCAAAAAGCAGATTTACAGGTTACAGTAATTATGAATTGTTGGAAGAAATGTCCATCTGGGTTCAGTTCCAAGTGGGGAGAAAAACACTGGAAACAGGGAGGCAGATTGGAAAGATGGTTTAATGGTGAAGCAGAACCACCAAGCACATGTGATTCTGGGTAGCTGATCACATGGAGTGGAGAGTGAGAGGCATTTATACCCTCTCTTGGGGCTTTGAACTGGAGCTTCCTATTCCTGTGCCAAGGGCAAGTATTCTATTGGTTGCTGTCAGATTCCCATGTGGAGTCATGTTTGCCTGAATCAAGTTTGGTTGAGCCTTGGGCTGATGTAATAGCCCCAGGTGTCATGAGGTGAGCTCTGCTGCTAGATGGGTAGAGGGTTAATCCTATTATGTCCTGAGGGTGAAGGTCTTTTGTCTTGTAGATAGGCTGGCATCAAAATACCTGTTGGGGGCAGGGAGCTGAGGCTGAGTTTCTATTTACTTTAAGATTTTTATTTCTCTTTTATGGGAAATATTCTGCCCTTTTAATATGAAAATCGTAGTATAAAACATCAAGAGGACATCAGATTAAGTGGCTGCTAGGAACATCCTTTTCTTTTTTCCTTTCCTTTTCTTTGAAATGTCATGCAAGAAGATGAGTATCATTATGGCTGATAAAATATCAAATTTGCAATTTTTCTGTTGCAGAAGTCACTGTTTTTCTATAACAGTTCAATTTCCTTAATAAATTTCCATCTGACATCATCCACTTATATGCTAAAAGAAACCTAATTCTCCAAGTGCTACCCTTACCCATAAGACTTGTCACCACAAGATAACTTGAGAGAGAGAGAAATCTGTATAGTAGAAGAAAGAATTTCTAAGCCTAGAAACAAAGCTTTCTCAATAGGCATCAAAAGCTGATTGGCTATAAGGAGAAATGGGGGAAAAAATAGAAGGAAATGATTGAATGGAACATCCTGAAGAAGAAACTTCACACTACAAAGTAATATAGATCCTGTTTATATATTAAAAGGTAAAGATGTTCATTTGGCTGATGGTCTTCTTGGAAACAGATTATCTGAGTGGGAACAGAAATGTAGGTCTCTGTTCCATTCATTTGTACGACTGGTTAACATTCAAACATCTCTGACTGCTGCAAAGATCTGAGGCAATTCTCAGCATGCAAAACATTGAGACAAAAAAAAAAAACCACTCTTCCATTCAGCCTACAGAGGATTCCCCTTTCTGATGGGAAATCCCCAGGTGGCAAATTGCCAACTACCTGTTAATCCATGCTTGCTTTAGCATACACAGAGTCATTGGAGACACAGTTACGTTCACAGCTCAGGTTAATCCTAATAGTCCTCAAGGTTCAGTTGTTGAGGCAAATTCAACTGGGTACTCAGAATCCGTACAAAAAGAATTGGCTGAACTTTTGTGGGAAGTTATCATCCAGCCCTCTCCCAGAAAAATGAAATATCCTAGGAAATATTGAAAAGGCAGAATATTTCTCTGGATGTGAAAAGA